TTACACTTTGATGCTTTTAATAAGTGACAGCAATGACATGGATTTACTGCATAATTGGATGGTTTTCTTTTGTGCGTTTTTCATATCCCTTGTAGGTACAAAAATAAAATTCACAGCAACATACTTCAGGAGACTTTGAGAATTTACACGCTTTTAAAATGAATGTTTATTGGGAGTTTATTAAAGGATAATTAATATGAGTCAATTTGTCAGTCATTATTTATTGAGTAACAACTATGTAATCAGCAAGTATATAAAATACAAAAGCCATACCCCTCCCTATAAAATTCCATTAATTTGAATGGGAAAATGTAACATATAAAACACTATAAGTATGAATGCTAAATTATGTAGCACTGAAATTCTAAAGTAACTCTGAAAAGGGAAAGATCAGTATGGGTTAGATTAGTCAGAGTTTTATGAATGAAGTGGGTTTTATATTAATTGTTATTGTTGGTGTTGTTAGATGCTGTTGAATTGACTCTGACGCATAGTGACGTTATGCACAACTAAATAAAACACTACACAGCCCTGCGCTGTCCTCACAATCATTGTTAAGCTTGAGCCATTGCTGCTGCCTCTGTATCTTTTCATTCCGTTGGGGGGTCTTCCTCTTTTTCATTGATCCTCCACTTTACCAAGCATGAGGTCCTTCTCTAGGGACTGGTCCCTCCTGATAAGATGTCCAAAGTATGAGAGATGACCACTCGCCATCCTGGCCTCTAAGCAGCATTCTGGCTATACTTCTTCCAATACAGATTTGTTTCTTCTGCTGGCGGTCCATGATGTTGATGGTGTTGTGCCGTGGAGTTGGTTGCAACTCACAGCAACCCTGTATCGGGTTTCTGAGGCTCTAAATCTTTATGGGAGCAGAAAGCCTCAGCTTTCTCCTGCAAAACAGCTTGTAGTTTTGGACTCCTGACCTTGAGGTTAGCAGCCTGACTCATAACCACTACACTACCAGAGCTCCTTCTAGCAATCCATGGTACTATTGACAATTTTATTTGTTTGTTCACAGTCATTGAGTCAGTTTTGACTCATAGCTATCCTCAGCCCTAGTGTGGTGCCGTAGAATAAGCTTTTGATCTCAAGGTCAGTTTGAACTGTAAGGTTGGTGGTTCAAACTCACCAGCTGCTCGGAAACCCTATACAGGGTCACTATGAGTTAGAACCAATTCAACAGCACTTAACAAAGAATTTCCTAGGAACACCTAGTGGATTTGAGCCTCCGATCATTGTTTACCCTAAAATGCCACACCAGGACTCCATTTATATTAAAAGTAATAACAAAACAAAACAAAAATCCAATATTTGTTGAGCTTTTTCTTTGTGTTACCACTGCCCTAAGCATGTTGTATGTGCTACTCAGCTCAAGCTAAGAATGGTTAAGTAATACTTATAACAAGCAGGAAGAAGTAGAGTCAGAATTTTCGCTGAGGTGGTCTGCTTCCAGAGCTCACCTCTCGTAAGAGTGGGAATCGGGCTAAGTATGTTGAAGGCATTCCAGGTGGGAGGATTAGTAATGAGTTTTGGAAAGAGTGATATTTTTACATTCCCAAAATTTTGTGTGCGATTTTAATATTATTCAATGTTGTTGCTGTTAAGTGCCATCAAGTCGGTTCTGACCCATATCAACCCTGTATAGGGTTTCTGAGGAGCATCTGGTGCATTTGGACCACCGACCTTGCAGTTCAATTGGCTTTGCAATCTGGCGCATTAACCCACAGCACCACACCAGGACTCCAGGAGTAGTCATGAATTCTTAAAAGTGAACTAACTTGTTCCATATATGTGATTTTTAATATTATATGATGAGTTGGGTTTGTTCTCCATGTTGTATCTATAATTGAAGGGACACAGGTAGGCGAGTGGTTAAGCGCTCAGCTGCTAGCTGAAATATCAGAGGTTCAAAGCCACCAGCCACTCAAAAGGAGAAAAGTGTGGTGGTCTGCTTCTATAAAGATCGATAGTCTTGGAAAGTCTACAGGGCAATTGTCCTGTAGGACCACTATGAGGGAAAATAGACTCCACTCACACAACAACATGCCTATAATTGTAGCACAAGTCAGTGAAAAAGTCTTGATTCCTTATGAGAGTAATTTCTCTTTTTTTTTAGAGATTAATTTTTCTTATATTCTGTTTTCTAGAAGTAGATCTGCTACATGAAGTAAGATGTTTTTGAGTTAACTTGTGTCAAAGATGCAATATCTGTACGATGAGCACTAATAAAATACTAGCACACTCTGAGCACAGAGATAAAGAGAAATGAGCATGTTTAGCAGCACTTTCTTTACTGTGCGTTTGTCAATAGGATGATCAAGTGAAACATCTACTCTCTTGTAATGAAGTTCCTAATGTTTTTATCTGACAGCATCAGACCATCAGTGCCATATTACAAGATATAGAAGAAAAGCAAGAAAGTTTATTAGCATTTGAAATAAGGACCCCTGAAGATACAGGTAAACATTGACTCATGCTCAGGTTTGATGATTTCAGACACAGAAGGTCATGCTAGCTCGCCTTCTTAAGATGCACGTTTATTTCAACTCACAATGGCTGAAAGAGTAGTTCTTTTTAATGCAAGAGTCTTTGTAGTGACCAGTAATGATCATTGAAAGTCAGTGATGCAAACACAAACCAGTAGTTTGAATGTTGATAAAGATACCTTATACATGCAAGGTGTGGCAAGAGTAATTTAAGAGACACTCAGATCCATGATCAGAAATAAACCTACTGGTGATAAAGTGAGACAAGGATGTGACAAAAAGCATAAGATAGTACCTAGAGATGAGATTATGTTACACCTTGGTATCTCAGCTTCACTCAGCTTTGGTAATCTTTAAAAACAGATCCAAAGAACAATGTGCAGTTATGACATAAGTAGAGAAAATTCTCAAACTTATCAGATGAGAAGATATACCAGGCGGATTTCTTAATGCATAGATATCTTCCTGTTTGTCAGACACTAATGTTTCAGTATTGTTGTTGTTGTTAAGTGCCGTGGAGTCGGTTCTGACTCATAGCGACCCTGTACAGGGTTTCCTAAGCTGTATATCTTTATGGGAGCAGAACGCCTCATCTTTCTCCCGAGGAACAGCTGACCTCGCGGTTCGCAGCCCTATTTGTAACCACTACGCTACCAGAGCTCCTTAATGTTTCAGTATAGTAAAAGATATTTTAATCTCTGACCTAGTAATTTTAATCTCTCAAAACTCTTAACTTCTCAGCGAGTATTTTCAAATTCTTCATGACAAAACAGCTGTATTGTCATGAGTTGAGATTTACAAGGTGGAAAGTAGGTCTCGGTAAATGCACATTTGAATTTTAGAAATTAGATAAAATTAAGTAATCTAAACTACTTTATCAATCTTTTGTATAGTAGGATGCAGCTGTTTTATCTTTTGCCCTCATGTCAGCTCCAATTCAAGGCAACTCCACACACTCTAGGAAGAGAAGTTTCTGGTCCTGCGCCATCATTACAATCTTCAGTGTGACCAAGTCCAGTGTTGTGGCCACTGTGCATCGTGAGAGCCTTCCAAGCCGAGGGGCTCATCTTTTAGCACTACGTAACACAATGTTCTATTGTGGTCCATAGGATTTTCACTGGCTAATTTTCCAAAAGTAGATTGCTAGACTTGTCTTCTATGTCTGTCTTCATCGTCTAGAAGTGCCACCTAAACCTGTCCACCATGGGTGACTGCTGCAGTAGTATGTCAACTACAAGTCACCACAGTACAACCAACTGACAGACCATGTTTGTATAGCCTGTTCAAGAATCATTTCCTTTTAAATTATATCCATTCTACTTTTTAATTTTGGCTTAACATATAGTACATACTATGTTTTGAGGATATAAAACAATTCATACCTTCGAACAACTATGTACAGTTAGTATATTTCATTTACTGTTTATAATACTGGGGGAGTCAGTTTGACCCACAAGGTTGGTGGTTCAAACTCACTGTCCACTCCTTAGAAAACCATTACGGAGTAACTGAGGTGGAACCGACTTGACAGCACTTAACAACAACATTTTTAATACCTTGTGCATATGAGCTGTTTTTTCCAAGGTTATAATGTTTTTCATTATAAAAGATGCATTCTAGATACACTTCAAAAAACATAAAGGAGAAAATATGCTAAAATTATCTATTGTCCCACTCCAATATTTTGGTGTATTCATTCCCGGGCCTTTTTCTTTTGTTGGATGCACTTTTTTTTTAAGGACGCAGCTACACAATTATACCTCAGACCTGTATAAAATATGGTTTGATCATGCTAGATATTCTAGTTTTGCATTTTTCCCCCATGGCCACTATTCTTACTGGTTCCATATTATTCAATCATGTTCCATAGTTCATCTCATTTTTCTCCTTTTGTTGATCATTTAGATTATATCTAAGTTTTTGCCATTGTACTACAACATATAGCTTTTTCTTATCTTCTTAGTAAAGTGTATAGATTATCTTCTTAGGAAAGTTTAATAGAAGTAGAATTATTATATTAGAATATATAAACGTTTTTAAGTCTACTAACTCATATTGATAAATTGGTTTTCCAAAGTATTATATAGGAGTCCTGGTGTGGCACTGTGGGTTAATGCACAATGCACTGGACTGCAAAGTAGCTCTGAACCACATGGTTGGTGGTTCAGGCTCACCAGCTACTCCTTAAAAACCCTATACAAGGCCACTCTGGGTCAGAACTGACTAGACAGCACTTAGCTCAACAATTAAGTATTATATACCAGTTTCCCAACTCACCATCATATTTTAGTGTTTGTTTTCCCTTACACTTCTGGTAGCATCAGTATTTCCATTTAAAATAACTACTAATTTAACAAGAAAAAATGTGCCTTACATTTTCATTTGCCTTATTATTGTGAGAGTTTGAGTTTCAATAGTTTTAATTCCTATTTTGTTAATTGACTGTGCTGTGGAGTTGGTTCTGTCTCCTAGCGACCCTGTATAGGGTGTCTGAGGCTGGAAATCTTTACAAGAGCAGAAAGCCTTGTCTTGCTTCCATGGAACGGCTGTAGTTTTGAACTGCTGACCTTAACAGCCTGAGGTTAACATCCCGACTTGTAACCAAGATGCTACCAGAGCTCCTTTGTTGTAGTATAGGAAAAAAACAAAGGGAATCTCATGCTCCCTTCATTTTTGTATATTAATTGATTGTCTCACTGACCCTTGAAGGAAGGAGAGAGGTAAGACATGGGACCTGAGGGTTCTTGGCTGGTAACTGACTGTGGTTGGTTCTGCTGCTCTCTGGCAGATGTTTACATTAAACTGAAAACTGTTCTCTGAGGCTCTTCTGAAACTTTACATGGGCTGCAAGTGTGGAGCTCCTATGATCTGAGCAGTGCATAGTCCCCTGTCCTGGGACCCGCATTGTGAGCTCTGAGCATTTTTGTAGTTTTGTTTTGGGTGGTTCATCCTACACAGACTGCTACCTTCTAAGCAGGATCACAGGGCAGGCTCCACCAACATCCTCTACATTTTTGACCCACTGTTAGTTCCCAGCATAGCAGCCACTTTCTCTCTGTGGAAGCATCCTGCTTTCAGGATCTCTACCTCTAGATATCCAGGAAATGCGTCAGATGCCAGTCCATTATCACCTCAACTGAAATTTAGTCTCTCAACAACTGCTCCCTTGAGAAACTGTCCCCCATCAGGGGTGGACATATAGGAGAGATGCTCCCTCACACCTCACACCTTAGTCTTTTTTGTGTAGCATGGAGATTCTCACCCAGTTAAACAAAAGCTCTCTAAAGAATTTTCTTTTTGAATTCAGTCCCTTCCACATTGTCTAGCTGAGGAATCCAAGAGAAATACATCTCATTTTATATGTTTTTTGTAAACTTTCCTAACAGAAGACTTGTATTCCCTTTGGTATCAGATGTCTCTAGTACCTCAACTGAATTGAGGCAAAGATTACCATTTAAAACATTTTATATATTTTGTCTAAGTAGATTTAACTCTATAATTCATCTGAAAATTCCTTTTTGTATATGGTATCAGTATCGAATCGGATTCCCTCCCCCCCCCCATTTGCTAACCCTCATTCGTCACCCTCTGTCATTTTCTTGTGCTGTAGTGGATTGTGTGTTGCCAGAAGCTATATCACCAGTATTTCAAATGCCCCCAGTGGACAGGTTTCAACAGAGCTTCCAGATTAAGACAAAATAGGAAGAACAGCGTGGTAATCTACCACTGAAAATTAACCAATGAAAACGCTATGGATCACAATAGAATATTGTCCAATATAGTGCTCAAAGATGAGCCTTGCAGGTTCAAAGACACTCAAAATGGACCGTGGCTACAACAATGGACTTGTATTCCTACATGAAGATGCTTTAGGACCAGGCGACATGGTATTCTGTTGTTTGTGGGGTGACCAGGATTCAAAGCCAATTCAACAGCAACTAACAGCAGACCCACCTCTGTTTGTTGAATAATTTCTCCCTTCCTCATTGTTTTGAAATACCTTATTATCATATATCATATTGTTACACACATGAGGGCAGCTTCTAGATTTTCTTTAAGGTGCTATACATTAATTTTTTTCTTACAAATAAGCTTATAGGATCAAGTTATCTGTAAAAACATATCCTTTCTTATGGAAATTCATGTTGTTGTTGTTGTCAAGTGCTGTCGAGTTGGTTCCGATACATAACGACCCTGTGCAGAGTTTCCGAGGAGCTGCTGGTGAGTTTGAACCACCGATCTTGTGGTTCAAACCGACCTTGTGGTCCAGTACTTACCCTACAGTGCCACACCAGGACTCCATAGAAATACACAGTATTTTAAATCACTGTGATATCTTGATTTTAGCCATGGCTTGAAATTCTGTTAGAAAACCCAATTTGACATGGCATATAGGTAATTTAAGTGTGATAATTTAGAAAACAATTATAATATAGAATGAGTTACATATTAATTTGTTAAATTGTCAATTTTGTGGAACAGATTTATATATAAATTTATTAATGGTCATACATATCGCTCCCCTTTGTTAGACTATACATTATATTGTAAAACCAATACTTTTTGTAGAATTACAGAGAAAAAAACTACTCTGGGCACACAGACTCTTTAATTATCAAATCATTTGTCTAATTTGCAAAGGGAAGCTTAGAACTAATGCCAACTAAGCCAACAGTAAAATGAACAGTAAGAAATTTAAAGAAAATGTGTTCATCTAAGCCTTTCAAGTTTCCTACTTAAGGCTCTGGATTTGGACATAATCCACAGGACTGTGTATAAATCCTGTTGATTTGTGATGAGGGGAATGTCATGATAACACGTCTTTGGAATATATGGAAGAAAGTAGGAGAAGTGTCATTATTACAGTAGAAATTTTACAAAATCTGTAAGTGACCTGAGATATAATGTAGTTCTATCTATGTGAGAATCTATCCCAAGCAGGTGGCATGGTGAGACCACAGCATGAGTTGGGGCTCCAAGCCTCTGGCAACATGCTCCATTATCCCTGCTGACTTCACTTACGAAACATGTTTTCAAGTTGGTGACCTCAGGACACTGAGCCCCAAAGTAGGACTCTTCTGACCATATAACACTGCTTATACGCCCATTGGGACTTTGGCCAGTGAAGCTCTTATAGCTTTAGTAACCAGATGTCCTGAGCTCATTTCAACAGATGGGACATTCTCAAGGCTACACCAGTGAAATACTCTTCAACTAAAGGTTGCTCGTTTCACTTTTTAAATGGACTCATGGAACACGCAAATTAAGCAACAAACATTTGTGCGACCACTTGCACTGGAGAAGTCAGGAACATAGAGACAAGCTCAGAGTCTGGTGGGAGAGGCAAAAACAAGGGCTAGTCAATAAATGCGTATCTAACTTTGTTTTTAATAGATGCATAGTTCCCCATAGTGTGCCAGTACTTAGTCACATACTTCTCTACTGAGAAGCAATCATACTGCTGCCAGTTAAATCAGTTCGTTTTGTTTATTTGAAATACCTGCTAGTTTCTGCTGTGTAACTAACCACTCCAAAATGTAGTTGCTAAAACAGCAATAGGTGGCACAGTGGGTTACACAAGGCTGTTTGAATCCACCAGTGGTAGGGATCCACCAGCTGCTCTGTGGAAGAAAGATGAGGCTTTCTGCTCCCGTGAAGATTTACAGCCTTGGAAACCGTATAGAGTCACTATGAGTCAGAACTGACTCTACATCACTTAACATCAATAACATCCAAATGTTAAGTTCAAAGAATAAGAATGGATAGCATGATTCTAATTTTTAAATACATATAAATAAGAAGCCCTGGTGGTGGTGTGGTTTGAGCATTGGGCAGCTAACCTCAAGGTTTGTGGTTCAAACCCACCAGCCACATGTATGGAGTAAGATGAGACAGTCTCAGAAACCCCATTACAGGGTTGCTATGAGTTGGAGCTGAATCAGTGACAGTGGGTTTGGTTTTTAGTTTGAATATAGCCAGATTCAGAAGAGGCCGTGGAATGAGGGATATCATTGCTGATGTCCAATGGATCTTGGCTGAAAGCAGAGAATACCAGAAAGCTGTTTACTTGTGCTTTCGATTGTGTAGATCATGACAAGATATGGACAACATTGCAAAATAAGAGTATTCCAGAATACTTAATTGTGCTTATGAGAAATCTGTACATTAACAAAGAAGCAGTTGATCAAACAGAACTTAGGAACATTTAATGTTTTTAAATTAAGAAAGGTGTGCAACAGGTTGTATTCTTTCACCATGCTTGTTCAACCTGTGTGCTGAGCAAATAATCTGAGAAGCTGGGTTCTATGAAGAAAAACATAGCATCAGGATTGGAGGAAGACTCATGAACAACCTGTGAAATGCAGATGATACAACCTTGCTTGCTGAAAGTGAAGAGGACTTAAAATACTTACTGATGAAGATCAAAGAGCATAGCCTTACATTAAGATTGCATCTTAATGTAAAGAAAACAAAAATCCTCACCACTGGACCAAAAAACAACATTCTTATCAACAGAGAAAAGATAGAAGTTTTCAAGGACTTCATTCTTCTTGAATCAACCATCAACACTCATGGAAGCAACAGTCAAGAAATCAAATGACGTATTGCATTAGGCAAACCTGCTGCACAAGACCTTTTTAAAGTGTTGAAGAGCAAAGATGTCAGCTTGAGGACTAAGGTGCGCCTGAGCCAAGCCATGGTATTTTCAATAAGCTCATATGGATGCAAAAGCTGGACAATGAATAAGGAAGACCGTAGAAGAATTGATGCCTTTGAGTTGTGTTGGAGGAGAATATTGAAAGTGCCATGAGCTGCCAAAAGAACCAACAGATCTGTGTTGGAAGATGTGCAGCCAGAGTGCTCCTTGGAGGCCAGGATGGCCAAACTTAGTCTCTTATACTTCGGTCATTTTGTCAGGAGGGACCAGTCACTGGAGAAGAATCTCATGTTTGGTAAGGTGGTGGGTCAGAGAAAAAGAGGAAGACCCCAGTGAGATGGATTGACCAAGTAGCAGCATCAATGGGCTCAAGCGTGGCAACAATTGTGAGGTTGGCCCAGGACCGGGCAGTGTTTCGTTCTGTTGTGCATAGGGTCAGTATGTGTCGGTACCAACATGATGGCACCTAACAACAATAACAACAACAACCAACAACATAGTATAAATATGTAGAACAAAATTTATACACATACCCTAAATTATTGGAGTCCTGGTGTAGTGCTAACATCAGTCTTCTCTGTGTAAAAATAAAATAGAAGAAAACCAGGGAGATGAGTGGGGTGTTCTTATACCTTTTTTTTTTAACATTCATATTTGATTTTTTTATAGTGATAATATATTCCTTTTGCATTTTAAAAGGTAAATAATTTTAACTGAAAAAAACATTTCTTTTCCTTTACTAAGTACATTTCACAGATACAAAAACTGACCATAAATTTGTCCAAGTTCACAAAGCTTATGATGGGGCAACAGGAGCAGAACTGAGGCTTGCCTGCTTTTGATACTGTGGTCTTACCAATTTACCTCAGTACCCTTCCATAGGGTGGCATAATTAAATAATTTTTACTTATTTTGAGGGGCCATTAATATTAGGAAAGAGGGTATGAAAGAAGGGTATTTTAAAATAAACAGTAGGGCAAATTCCTGTGTGACAAAATTTGCCATTTGCTGTCTTTCAGTGTAACTAACTTGACTTTACAACCATATTTCTAGAACAATACATTGAAAAAATGTTACAGATCAAAGAAGTGATGGATGGTGTGCTTACCAAACAGAAGGCAGAAAGGGATGATCTGGCTAAGAAATACAGGTGAGTAGGAAAAAAAACTATTAAGAGTGCTTAAAAGAGTTTTTTAGAATTTATCCATGAGTTAAGCCTAAGCTTCTTAAGAATACAAATGTTCCTTAGAACTATATAATAAGTCATAGAATCTTTTCATCGCCCTGGAGAACTATATATACCGTAAAGGTATTTTTCTATCTTATTACCTGAAATATTCAGGGGAACAAATCAAAAATTAAAAAATATATTTGAAGTGTCTCTAGCCAAGAATTTTATGAAAGCCTGTGGTCGTGATCTCATCATCACATTGCTATCCTTGGTAAACTCCAATTCTCTACATTAGAAAAAAATTATTCTTGCTGTCACAAATGTTACCCTTGTAAACAGTTGACTTACCATATATATTTGTGTTTCTGTGTACTCTCAGTGACCTTAAGGAATTTTATTCTGATTATATTAGTCACATGCCTCTTCTTACCTTTTTGTTGTTGTTGTTAAGAAGGATGTTTTGTGTCTTTTTCATGTTTGGGTATTATTTTTTATTTGTTTTTCTTATAAACTTCACTATATATATATATATACACATATATATACATATATATATATACATACATATATATATATCACATATTCTTTATTTATATATTTTATCTTTCTAAATATTTCCTTTAGTTTCTCATCATTTAATCATTTGACATCTATCACATATTCAATTTTTTTAACTTATTTTAAAATCAGTTTCTATTTTTAATTCTACCATCTTCTATCCTGAGTTTGTCTTTATCTCTAATGAATCAGTATTGTACATTCCTTTTTATTTCCAAACTTATTTTTCTGTCAGTATGAAGCAACTGAGCTCATGTGACCTACAAATGGGTAATTGACTAGAAGATTTGTTTTATTAGCTTCAATTTTCCTTAGTGTCCTTTTGCTAACAATGTACTTAGAATTTGGGAAATTCCTGATCAATAGGGGTTTCAAACATGAATAAATCCTTATTAATATTGCTATAAGACTTCAAATCTTCTAATGAGAATCTAAAAAGAGCCCCTTTGCTATTTTTTGAGCTTTTTATTTTGCATAGTTTAAAAATATGATGGTATTTTAAAAATTATTTTTCTTCTCTTCCCAGATACTTGCATTTCATACTATTAGGTGTGTGTTAATCTGATTTCTTCTTCTTGGTGCTTCTTCTATTTTTATATCTTTTGTATTCCATCTGCTGGGAGTTAAGTACCAACAACCCAAAACCATGATAGAAAAAGCAAGGGTGTGGCACTGTAGGATAAGTACTGAACTGCCAACTGTAAAGTCGGCAGTTGAAACACACCCGTCTCTCCTCAGAAACACTATACAGGGTTACTGTGAGTTGGAACCAACTTGATCACACTCAAGAACGAGAAGGACCCACTTGGCGTCCCTGAGGCCATTTTAGGGAATCTGTGAAGTAAAAATCAAGAAGCCCTGTGGTGTAGTGGTTTAGTGGCTGACTACTAGCTGAGAGGATAGAGTTTGGAACCTGCCGGCTACTCTGTGGGAGAAAAAATTTACAGCTTCAGAATCAACTCCAAAGTCGTGCGTCTGGTTTTGGTTGAAGTCAAAGTTTTATAGTAATTTAAACAAATAAATCAGGGCCATTGAGTCATTCTGACTGACTCAGAGCAACCTTATAGTACAGAGTAGACATGTATATCTTCTTGGAAGTAGATTGCCACGTCTTTGTCTGTCAGCGTGGCTGGTAGGTTCAGTAACAGCCAGTCTTTTGGTTAGCAGCCGATCATTGTAACCACTGCTCCACCAGAGCTCCTTTATTCTTACAGCAATTCTAATACACTATTTGCAGGCTCCACACAAGTCCTCAGGATCTTTGCATTGTAGATCTTTGCTTTTATTCTCTCATGAGTGTACAGTGGAATTTTCCAGAGGCCACATGGCATGACGATATCTCTCATGACAAATAGAATGTGTGATTGTGTATTCTTGTGTTGTAAGAATACAAAATGTCTAAGTTTTTATTTCTGAAACAATCCATATTGAGATACATAACACACATAAACTAAAGCTCTTTGAGATCCCAGTAATTTTTAACAGTGTAACAGGGTCCTGAGAACAAAAAGTTTAAGAACTGCTGGTTACAGAGTGGCCAGTATCCTGAAGGTCACTGAGGGACGGGTGGGCATAACCAAGTGACAAAGGTGTGTGAGGGCCATGTGAACCATTTCCTCCCCACCCCTAGTAGCCCCTGGAGATTTGAATTCAGAGAGGCACACAGGATACTGTTTGTCTAGGTAAGGCTCCTAGACTTCAGAGTGTCTCTGTATGGGGCAAAGTACAATAAAGAGTAATTAGTTGGTGAACTGACATGTCTCAAGCCTAGCTGAGGTAGGGTTATTCACAAAACCATTCTGCTTCTTGGACGCAGAAACGATGACGCGAAGAGATGGAGCGGCTGAGGACTCTAGACTCAAGGAGGGAGAGGGGTTGTGTGCTGGTGGTCGGGGGGCTGGCATGCAGCGTATACTACTCTTTGATTGTTTGAATGGTTGATTATATATTCCTTATATTCCTGAGTGCTTTGGTGTACATTAAAAAAAAAAAAGGAATTGGAAGCAAATGCTGTTGAATGATGATGCATGGAGGGGATTGAAATCATTGCAATGAAATTAAATACAATAGGGTGAATGTAAAGCTAATGCTCTCCCATGTAAACTGTCACTCAATTCACAATAGAAACTTATAAAACAAAACCATCCCACTTCTATGTGGCTAAGGGAACCTGAGTGGAACTTACTCACAAATTTTACTTCCTGAGACACCTTCCCACTAAGTAAGCAGAATGTTCCTCCTTAGTCACCTGTTGCTACCTTTCAACTAAAGGATCACTGGATAACTAGACAGATGACCCAACTTTTATTTTTTTTAGGGTTGACTCACAACTGATAATGATACAGTGCTATTTTTGGATCATCAGCACTGTTGGTGTTAACTGCCGTCAAATCGGTTCCATCTCATAGCGACCCTGTGTAGGATTTTCTAGGAGCAGCTAGTGACTTTCAACAGTCCACCTTGCAGTTCAAACTGACCTTGAGGTCCAGTGCATTATCCTGCAGCACCACACCAGGATTCCTTCTAAAAAATGCAAACCCACTCACCTTAACTTGTTGTTAAAGGCCGTTGGGTCAACCCTGAACTCACAGTGACCCTGTATAGGATTTCCAAGGAGCAGCTGGTGGGTTTGAACCACAGTTCTTGAGGTTAGCAGTCCAGCCACACCGGGACTCCATAAATACCCTGTTGTTGTTAAGTGCCATCAAATCGGTTCTGATTTATAGTGGCTTGTGGGTTTGAACTGCTGACCTTGCTGTTAGCAGTCCAGTATCCTTCAGCACCACACCAAGACCAAATGTAATTGGCTTGATTAAATTAATCAGCTCAATTTCCTTTCAAAGGAAATACATTGCAAAGATAGACATTTGTGTACCTTTACATTTAAATTGAGCTGATCAATTTAATCAAGCTAATTACATTAAAAATTAAAACAGGTAATATCTGGAACACCTAAATGACTACTTAAAACTAAGTTTTCTCCTGTTTTTGCTTTTTTCCCTCTCTCTTTGTATTTCTTCTTGTAGGGTATCCAGAGAGTCATTTAAGCATGGAGCTTTGAGAGAACAACTGGCCGACCTGGCCATAAGACAGAAGAGTCTATTAGTTGTGGCAAAAAAACAGAAACAGATAAGCCTGAAAATCCAAGACTATAAGAATGCCACATCATTTTCTGGATTGAGCATGAGGAAGTTGCCATGTAGCTCAGAAGCCTCCAACAAAAAGGATAGCCAAAGACTTAGCAGTCTGGAAAAATCAGAACATCCCCAATCAGGTTCACTCTACCCTGCCAGCCTCGTTTGTGGAAACACACAGGAAGCAGAGTTGTCTCAGCAAACTTGGAACGATGGCCAAAATACCACCTTTTGCCTAAATTCGGAGGTGGCGAGAAGGGGAGAAGTATCTGGAAACGAACTGAATTCTAACCAAAATGTCACTGACTGCACCTCAGATGGGTTATCAAAATCTAGTAATTTAAATGGCACTGAGAAGATGAAATCACCATCACAGCCTGTTGCTTTTATCACTCAAGCAGATTATACACAAAAAGGAAATGATCTTGCAAAAACTACAGCCAAAGACTGTGAATGCAGCAACCCTTCCACCGTTACTGGCACATTAAATGCTTCAGAAATCACAAGTGTACTTGCCCAAAAGGACGCCCATCCGTCAACTATGACTTGTGACCAAGCGCATCCCAATAACGATCCCAAAAGAGGGAAGAAGAACACAGCTTCTGAGCAACCTCCTAGAGCAGCATCAGTGCCCCTGGGACAGCAGAGAATTGCTATCTTCAGCAGTGGTTCGGTGCCTCCAGTGAAAACGAATCTTAAAACATCAGCTTTTACTGTTCCATGTGCAAGTGACAGTCAGATCACCACCTCGGAGTCTGGCCATCAACATTCTATGAAAAAACCATTAAACTACAATACTGCTCCAAAAAAGAAATGTATGCAGATAAAGGATCTGATATTACTAGGAAAACTTAATCCTGGAAATAACATTCTGGAATTCAAAACACAGGTATTGTACTTAATTTTCCTATAAAACCATGTGAATTTTAGAAATGAATCAGAGTTACTGTGTGATTAGAGAAATGGGCCTTTCTGAATGAAGCCCCACTACCATTGTTCTCTCAGCAAGTGAGATCGTGCTTCAGAATGGAATTACACCTATACTTACCAACTATTTTGTTATCTGATGTTTCCCATTCATGACAGTAGTAGAACACCTATTATCTATTTTGCAATTAATAGCATATGTCTGGCAGTAATAAACACCAAGGTACTTGGCCAGAGAAAAGTTGACTGTCATGGTTAAGGTAATGTGTCAACTTAGCTGGACCATGATTCTCAATGGTTTGGTAGTTAGGTAATGATGTAATTTAGCAGCCATATAATGTTTTACTCCTCCGTTTTGTAATATGGTATGGTCATCTTCCATTTTCACATAAAGCCAATTTTCACATAGGAAATTGAAACTGATCTTTGGAAACTAACCATGTCGGTAAGTGAGGAGAGGGAGAGTCAATTTTATTGCAGAAGGAAGGATTTTAAAAACACCTTATTAGAATATATTGGAGGTCTTTTTGGTTCTAAACCTTTGGGAACTGCCAATGTGTACCTTATGCATCTTCTAATAAAGGGATAAGTACAAGTTTATCTTCCATAGCTTAATTTAGAACCAAGAAGTCATTTGGAAATTGGCTAACTCTAACTCAATTAAAACTACCAAGTTTGTATAGAAGTAGAGTAGGGGAAAAAAGTTTTGCTAGAAATGCATACAAAGTCTGCATCTCCCTTTTCCTTGTATTTCGCTTTTTTATTCAGAGTCACAAAGACTGCAGACTTTGAATGCTTCTTTGCTTTATGAGCTATACAACAGAAATCAATCCAGCTCAACTGTAATTTGATCTGTATGACCCTTGTGTCCATTTCTGGAGTAGAAGGCTTTCCTTGATTCAGAAAGCATCAAGTTGTCTCTGACTCAGCCATGCCATGTGTGTCGGAGTAAAACTGTTCTCCATAGGGTTTACAAAGACTAAATTTTTCAAAAGTAGATTTTTAGGCCTTTCTTTCAAGGCATTAAAAATTTTAGTCACAAAGGAACCTCAGTGGGGTTGTGGGCTAGGCATTAGGCTAACTGCAAGTTTGGCAGTTCAAATCCATCAGCCGCTCCTTGGGAGAAAGATGAAGTTGTCTGTTCCGTTAAACATTTATGGTCTTAGAAACCCTATGTGTAGCACTATAAGATAAAGCCCTGAACTGCAAGATTGATTTGAACCAGAGGTTAGCCGTTCAAGTCTACCAGCCATTCCTTGGAAACCCTATGATGTTGTTGTTAAGTGCCTTCGAATCAGATTTTTTGACATATAGAGACCCTGTATAGGGTATCCGAGGGGTGACTGGTGAACTTGAGCTGCCAACTTTGCAGTTCAAACTGACTTTTCAGTCCAGTGCGTTAACACACAGTGTCACACCAGGACTCCTAGAAGCCCTATATCGGGTGGCTATGAGTCAGAACAGGCTCAACAGCACTTAACAACAACAACAGCAACAACAAACTCTATGTAGGATTTCTATGAGTAGGATTCAGTGGCAGTGGGGTTGGGGTTTTAAATTAATTACATTAGCTCAAATTTTGACACTTAAGGTTACTTTTCCAGGTCAGCTATAGTAATTTTCATATTTTAGCTATTTTTTCTTCCTATAGCAGCCTTTTAAAAGCTTTAATTAATGTAATACACTGCATATATTTGAAGTGTGCAATTTGATAAAGTTCTTACATATGTATATACCTTTCATTTCATGCTCACAAAAAAGATAATGAGCATGTCCATCAACCCAAAAAGTTTCTTTGTGCCGTTGTATACTTTCTTTACTCCTCTTTCTTTCCCTATTGATTCGCAAACAATTTCTGATGTGCTTTCTCTCCCTGTGCTTTGGTTTGCATTTCTGAAAGTTTTGTATCAGTGGAATTATACCCTATGTACTCTTTCTTTTCTTTCTTTCCTTCCTTCCTTCCTTCCTTCCTTCCTTCCTTCCTTCCTTTCCTTCCTTTCCTTCCTTTCTTTTCTTTCCTTCCTGAGGGTCTGGCTTCTTTCTTTCAGAATAATTATTATGAGATTCATCTTTGTTTTAGCGTATATCAGTGTTTTGTTCCCCTCTTTATTACTAAGTCCAGTGTATATATATGCCACAGTTTATCAAGTAATCCTGATAAACATTTGAGTTGTTTCCAGTTGTAGGTTACTACAAATAAAAAACCACTGTGAACATTGATGTACAAGTCTTAGTATGATGTAGACTTCATTTCTTTTGTATAAATACATAGGAATGAAGGGACTGAATCATATGGGAGGTTTACATCTAACTCTTTTAGAAATTGCCCATCTGTTTCTATAGTGTTTGCATCACTTGATATTCTTAACAACAGTGTACAAGAGTTCTATTCCTCCATAGCTTCGTCAACACTTGGGATGATCAGCCTTTTTAATTTTAGCCATGCTAGCATGTGTACATCATTATGGTTTCTCATTGTGGTTTTAATTTGCATTTCTGTAATGATTAAATATGTTCAGCATCTTTATATGTGTTTATTTGCCACCTGTATCAAAGTGTCTATTGAAGTCTCCTGCCTGTTTTTTATTGGTAGCTTTCTTATTATTGAGTTTTGAAAGCTCATTATACTAAACACAGACAAGTAAAATGTAAACTTTATTTTTGTCTTATCTTTTACTTCAGGAGAAGACCCACAAAGCCAGTGTTTTATTGTGTGGTAAAATTAAGGTAGAAAATGGTCAGATTTATCAAAACCCAGTCAGCTGGGTCAAGGATCTGGTAGGCGGTGACATTTCTGTGACCTGGAATTACGCATGGAGTCAGGTGGGTCATTCTCAAGTTTACCTTTAACTTCATACTCAAGTGGAAGGGTACTTTTTCTTGATGATGGAGCTATTTCCTTTTTTTTTTAAAGAAAATTCCGTGATCTCCAATCTAGTCGTCCACATGTACCGCTTCTGTGCTGTCCTGTATGCTTTCTTCTGCGATTCCTAGTTGCCAGAGTTCCCCACGGGCAGAGTTGCACTGCTCACTGTGCCTCTCCTTCCTGTTCCTCCCTTAGTTTCAGAAACTTCAGTGCTCCAAATCTTCCCTTTGTCAATCCACAGTGATTTCAGATCTTTGTGACTCCACATAGAACATTTGGGACCACTGGTGTATAAAGATGGTATTAGCATTTAACACTTACTTTTCCCCTAAAGAAGAAAGGAATGGGCAAGGGGCCCGAGGCCACAGAAACTATTGTGCATTTTTATTCTTTCACCTTACTGCATCAGCAAAGTGTGTTTACGACCCAATGGCCATTCAGTTCTAGATATCCACAGCACCACTTTGGGAACAGTGTTCCAGTGACTCTCCCAGGAAAGTGTGACTCATCAGACACTACCATTGTGATTTCATGGAATGCCAGATCCCTTCTACTCTGCTAATCATCACAGCAAGTCCCACTGCACCAGCTTCCTCTACTGCTTTTTCTCCAACCCAGCTCTGCTCATCCATGCTCCTAGATCCTGATCTCAGCCTGTGTCCCCAAACTTTGCAGACTCTTAGAACTTTGTGGCAAACATTAACAGCACAGCATTTTCAGACTCGACGGCACTTAACAACAACAACAACAACTTACAGAAGAACACGTTCAGCATTTCTCAAGTTGGGAGAACTGAAAAAAAAATTCAAGTCTCAACTTTCGTTATTGAAAGATTCTCTGAGCAAATTAATGAAAGATGCAGAAAGCATCAAGAGAAGATGGAAGGAATACACAGAGTCACTGTACCAAAAGGAAATGGTTAATGTTCATGAGGTAGCATATAATCAAGAGCGAATGATACTGAAGAAGATGCATTGAAGGAATTGGCAAAGAAAAAGGCACCAGGAATTGATGGAATACAACTTGAAATCTTTCAAGAAAGTGAGGCGACATAGGAGGCACTCACTCACCTCTGCCAAGAAATTTGGAAGACAACTATCTTGCCGACTGATTGGAAGAGATCCATATTTGTACCCATTCCAAAGAGAGATGACCCAATGGAATGTGGAAATCATCGGACAATCTCATTGATATCCCACGAGAGTAAAGTTTTGCTAAAGGTAATACAGAAGCGGCTACAATTATACATTGACAGAGAACTTCCAGAGGTTCAAGCCAGATTCAGAAGAGGCCGTGGAACGAGGGATATCATTGCTGGTGTCTGGTGGATCTTGGCTGAAAGCAGAGAATATCAGAAAGAGGTTTACCTGTGCTTTATTGACTACGCAAAGTCTTTTGATTGTGTGGATGACAAGCTATGGACAACATTGTGAAGTATGAGTATTCCAGAACACTTAATTGTGCTCATGAGGATCTGTACCTGGACCAAGAAGCAGTTGTTCGAACAGAACATGGGAACACTGAATGGTTGAACATTAAAAAAGGTGTGCAACAAGGTTGTATTCTTTCACCATACTTATTCAATCTGTATGCTGAGCAAATAATCCAAGAAGCTGGGTTCTATAAAGAAAAACATGGCATCAGGATTGGAGGAAGACTCATTAACAACCTG